TAGTATTCAGTGAAAAACAGTTTGGGGAAAGAATGATAAGGTAACTCTAAGGGGAAATGTCTTTTAAACCCAAATTGTTATTTCTGGTCCATTAAAGTATCAAAACCCAAATGAAAACTGGCCTCTAAAGAAAATGCCATTAAAGAAAACACAACAAGAAGTAGTAGGGGGAAAAAAATTACACACAAAAAATTGAACACATACAATTCAAGGACTGGACATCTAGGGAAAGAACAGGAAAATGTATGGATTTAACCTTTGTAGTATAAGACCTCTGGTGGCCTAGTGGCAAGAAGCTGCGCTGCAATCCCCAAGGCATGTGGTTCAAGAGCACCAGCTGCTCTGCAGGAGAAGGATGTGCAATCTCCTCCACTGTGATTAACTGCTTCTGAAAACCCACCTGAGAGTCAGCTATGGGTCGGTTCAGACTCTACGGTACACAACAACAACAGTATAAAGAAAAGGAGCGTTTCAATGCTTAGGCACTTACCTATCAACTGAAAGGTCAGTGTTTTGAACCTCCAAGCTCCTTGGATAGAGAGATGAGGCAGTCAGCTTCTGGAAAGATTCACAGCCTGGGGAATCCTTTAGGGTAGTTGGACTCTGACCATTAAAGAACTGACTCCATAGAAAAGGGTTTTTTTTTTTAAAAAAAAAAAAACCCAAATGCTCCTATTTTATAAGATCTCTGACATGATTATTCCTTTGCTCCCAGACAGAAAGAAATAAAACAGAAGGGACAATTTCATGTAAAATAATCTTTATGCTACACTACAGAGAATTAGCTAGATTTGTTCACTTTGAAAAGATAAGTTACCCTATGCGAAGTAGCAAGGGTAACAGGAAATGTAGATGTCATGTCTTCTCTTTTGGAATACATACTGAATTTACTAATTAGGGGGGAAATGTCCAAACTGTAAAAACACAGGTTTCCTTTTGATGATGACACTGCTAAATTACGTATAAAGGGGAAACCACCAGATGTTTTAGAAAAGGAACAGGACAGAATGGAATCTCTACTCCCTCACTTGCCTAACCAACAGCTTAACACTGCCTAACAAAATAGTCCAGCAATGGACCCTTGTATTCCTGTTTTCTGAAATTATTTTCAAGATGTAGTCTCATGAGTCCTTAAAGAATCTCAGCTGCTCTGTCTTTCAGTCAGTCTTACCTCATTAAATTTAAAGTTAAGATTTTAAAAGTCTTTCCTCTTGCTTGGAAAGTGCTATTTTTTAACCTTTCAATTCAATTGATTTCCAAAGGTGACACTGGCTTCACCTGAAAAATCATCAGCTTTAAACGCAGGAAAGCTTTGAAGGTTTTCTAGTAAAGAACAGAAATCAGATCAATAATGGTATTGAAAATATAACTGAATATCAAATCACATTTATCTGTACTTGTGGCTTGTATTAAAGCGGTTTAATCCTTTGCAAATAAGCTTTTCCAGAGTGCTAGATCGATAGGGTGCACAGGCAAGCAGGATTACTGGTGATCTACAGTGCAGAAACCCATCAATGCCTGAGGAAGGAAGAGCTGCAGCAATGTCAAGGTGCCTGAAACAGAAAAATCCTGACCTCCTCCTCCTGCTCCAAAGGGCAGTCTTGTTCTCCTAGCTTTGACTCACACTGAGCTTCATTTGCAAGTGGATCTGGCTGTTAATGCAGAACTGTTCAATGCAAATATTTCTTCCCTGCACAGCTCAGTTGAAAGGCAAGGCTGAAAATTAGTCAGCTATAAGGGAGAAAAAAAAGTACCGCCCAGTTACTAGGGGAAGACTGATTGAACATGGATTGCCTGTTGCGTCTTTAATTTAATTTGGAGATCTTTCATCCTGTACTTTCCCTTCATTTGCGGCCAATACTTCCTGAGCTAATTTGTACCTGTTTCATTTTCCTCCTTTTTATCTTATCTGTTTTAACATCAACCATAGAAATTAGAAGCACTGTGAATAAAAGATAAGTTGGGACACTCTCTCCTTAACTACTGGGAATGACTTAAAAACTGATGTGCCTGTGTGCGTGTATGTGTGTGTACAATAAAAAGGACTGAGATATGTGCCATAGTCCTACAAAATCTCCATTCAGCGTCTTTCCTTTCCCCTAGGGAGAGGCAGTGTTTAGATATTATTTAGATATCCTATATTTTTCACCAAGATAGCAATGCCTTACTATAATTACTTGGAATCATTAATCTTAGAATGAGTGTGCAGTAGACCATCTCATTAATAACCATGGGCTTAAAGGAAAATAAACTTGAAATTTGGAAAAATGCACAAGACAAAGGATGCATAAATTCCACTCATTTAATCTTCTAGATGGTCCAATACTGCTTTCCAGGAAAGGAAAAGATGGCTGGGAAAAGGAAAACCTAAATTATCAACTCCCATACATGGTGAACAGATGCCTTATCTGCCTGTAACCACTGTAGCCTGGGGGATAGGTAATGGTGCAGAAAGGGACTAGTTACCACCTGGGAGCAACCTTAAGGAGCTACAGAATTGAAATTTTAAGTGTCACGAAGATCACATTTTTTAAAAACCCCACATATTTTGTATACTTAGTGCATGGCCATAAAAAACACTTGCATATGCTCTTAGAAATTTGTATTATTTTTTTCACTTCCAGCTGAGCAAAACTTTTGTCTTGAAGGTTTGGCATGCATTTTCTCTTATAATTTCCTCTTTGCCAATACTATATTTTCCCTTCCCCATCCTTTCTCCCTTTCCTTTTTTCATACTTTATTTTTTCCTCTCTCTCTCTGTTTTTCTCTCTCTCTCTCTCTTCCCCCCCTCCCTCTTTTTCTCTCTCTCTGAAATCAAAGACAAAACCCACTGAATTCATTTGTTGCTTAGAAAAATCTACCACCAACAAGCCCTCCTTTCAGCTTGGGCAGCATCAAAGGAAGACTGTTCTGGATGCTTTTACTGCCTGTATATGCCAACTCTTCCACTCATATAACTTTATCCCAGTGGGCTAGAAGATATTGAAAAATCACCCCTTCTTTCCAGTCTGTCTCCCCCAGAAGGGAAGTGACAATTAATGTACACTAATTTACTTAAGCAGGATCACACATTTATAACAAGCAAAGCAACTTCCAAGTTGTTGAGGGTGGGGAGGGGAGGAGGGACAAAGACTTAAGATGAATCATTCTGCATTAAATTGTAAAGATCCTGCATCAAAATACAAGTTATTTCTTGGAGGGGGCAGGTTGTGAGAGCAAGGAAGAAGGATTCAGTAGCAAAGCCAACTTTAAAATACTCAAGTGATTATCCATTCTTGTCATGAAAATTAAGACCATATCATACAAATGCCAAGCTTATTTATTTCTCTAGAGAAACATGGAAAGAAAGTCTTGCATACTGAAAGGCTGAGGAATAAAAGGTGAAGAACAATTACAGCTCCTTTAATTCATGAAGGAGAAAAGGATGAATAAAAACAAAGGCTGCAATTGCCCTGGAGAAATGCACAGGCAGAAAAACTGAATTGGAGAGGTACAGACAGAGTAGCGAAATCTTGAGATTAAGGAAGCAAGACTGGAGGTCAGAATGCAGGGGGCGGGGGTGTTTAGGTACAACCAACCACCTAGTCACAGGTGCTCTGCTTTTTAGAAATCCAGTGTCCAGCTAATTATATAAAAAAAACTTACCAAATGTCTAATTTGCTTGTTTATAAGAGGGTATAGATTTCATGGAAACAGGATGCTAGTGAATTTTGGGCAGCTGTTTGGTTAGCTATCAATAACCCCAATAGCTCTTTCAGCTGCGTTATGTCAGAAGAGAAAGGAAAACTGACAAATGGCACTCAGCTTTAACTGCACAATACAGACATACAGCTAATCACAAAACCCCCCAACAAAATACCACCCCCCCCAAAAAAAAACACAACTCATAGACAACCCAACAGCAGAAACCTTTGAAGTCATTGCCTTGGTGTAGATCTGGCCTCTTAGCAACCACGCCTGTGTTTCAGAGGCTGTGAATCTTAACAGCAGGAGACCGTCTCCCTGTCTCTGGCAGAGCTACAGGTGGATTTGAACCACCTCAGACGCAGGCTTTTCGGCTAGTAGCACAACACACTACTGACTGCATCACCAGAGCGTCTAAGCTTAATATTAACCTTAATAAATAGCACTTGATCTAATCTGTGCACTCTGAAGGATACACACGGGCCATCTCGCAGCAGGAATTAGGCAGCACATAGATGTGACTGTAATTGCAGGAAGCAATCAATGGCCCTAGTGGATACTTTGCTACAAAGAAGCCTTATAGAACGGTCCATAAGAGACTGGCGTCCTATCTGGTACCTTGAGCTATAAAATGGCTTAATTACAAGGAAAAGCCTCCTTAACTCTTTACCAGGGAAGGTTTTCTTGGAAGAGAAGCAGTATTAAGTCATAAAGGGTCTCAGTGGAGGTGCATACAGGGATGGAATGGAGGGAGGAGGGAAGATCCTCACGGAAGTCAGTATTTTCACTAATATTTTTCGTGCCATAGAACGGTGTGAAAATCTGATTCTAGGTGGATTTCTGGTCACCATTTCCACTCTGCTCTCTATATAGCTGTAGTCTCAAAAACACATGAATACACGCACTCCTCCCTTTCCCAAATCCTTCTCTGATTTGTTAGATACTGAGCCTTTCAGACTAAGTTCCAGTCTCAGACCAGTTCCTGGAAATCATTCCCACGCTTCGCCTGTGTTACTTTCTCTGCCAATCTTGGGACTCAAGTGAGTGGCGTAGCCCCACAGCAGAATTGGCCTTTGTCAAAATGATCCTCTCTTTCACGCTCGACCCTCATGGGTCAAGGTAAACTTGCCAAGGCCAGCGGGGGCTGCGGGATGGGATGCCCATGAGGAGCAGCTCCGCAGGGAGTACCGGCGGGTGCACAGAGAAATGAGAACTCCAAAGAGCAGCCGAAGCGCGAGTGGGGTGAGAGGCATCGCCAGGCCAGCCCGGGGTCGCTTCCCGCTCCCGCCCCCCAGAGAGGGCGGGCTGGTAACTACCTCCTGGAAGAGCTCCAGACTATAAGTGTTGTCGTCGTCGGCGAAGAAGAGCACTCCCGGCTGTGCGCGCTGGTGCTGGTGTCGCTGGCGCAGCCAGGCGAGGCCGGCGTTGCGCTGCTCCGTGGCGCGCGGCAGCCCGGGCCGCTTGTAGCGCCGCGGCGTGGGCACGTGCAGGTGTGTGCTGGGCAGACCCGCCCGCGCCAGGAAGCGGCTCACCAGCTCGCTGCGCGCCGCCGCGTCCTCCACCAGGATCCAGTGCAGCTGCGCCACCTGGCGGAACGTGTTGGCCAGGCGGGTCAGCTCGGCTTTCTGCACCGGGCGGCTGTAGGTGGGCGTAATGGCATAGATGGTGGGCAGCTGGGGCTCAGGCTGCGGCGGCGGGCCCGACTCGTTGCGCTTCTCCGCCGCGCGTCCTGGGGCGCTGTTGGGGCCGCCCCTGCGGAGCGGGAGTCGGGCGCCCCCGCGGCCCGCCACGTAGGGAGAGAAATAGGGGCGCGGGGTGAGCGAAGACGCCGGCCTGCGCGTGTCCACGTCGAGCATGATGATGACAATGAGGATCCAGGGCAAGAGGATGAAGAAGCGGCTGAAGAGCACAGACTTCATGGTGGACTTCCCCCGGCCTCTCAGACGCCCGGGCCACCCCTCTGGCACCTAAAAGGGGCAAGTCGGGATACCCCAGAGTGCAGCGTGGACGGCGGCAGTGCCCGCGCTCAAGGAGCCGGCGCGCTCTCCATGGGGTCCAGGACACTGCGGGGGGCCTGGGAGGTGCGAGGCTCAGCGCCCAAAAGGAGGGGATCCGAGCAGGTGCTGGGCGAGCTAGAGTCACGGGGGCTGCAGGCTGGAAGGGGCTGCGCCCTTCTCCGGGTGGGCTGGCGAGAAGAGCCACTCGGTCCAGCCGCTCGTTGTTGACCCTGGAGTTGTGCCGAGCGCCTGGAGGGCGGTGGTCCCTTCCACGCTGTTTTGGAAGAAAAGGAATCCGCACCCCGAGCGCTCCGCCGCTCGCGTCCCGCGGAGCTGCGGGGAAAGGTGCTCCCGCCGCGAGTCCTCTGTGCGCGAGCCCCCGGTGCGCTCGTGAGGGCACCTTCGAGGGCGGGCTCCAGGCGCAGCAGGTGCTGAGTGCGTCCACGCCTCACATCCTAGCTGCCGGGGACTCGGAGGGGGCGCCGGGGATCTTGTGCTCCCAGCTCCGTTCGCGCGCCGCCTTCGAAGCCTGCGCTCCGGTCCCTCGATCTTCTCACAGCCTCTCCTGGCTCCCGCGGCTAGATCCCAAAGCAAGGAAAGAAAGAAAAAGCGAGGGGGCGGGGGCGCTGCAGACTCGGGCGTCCTCCCGTGGGAAGACAGCAGCGCTGCTACTGGCGGAGCGGGGCCGCGATGGGGAGGCGGGGAAAGGGCGCGGGCTCTCCGCGGGGTCTGCCTCTGACAGCCCCGCGAGCTAGCACGAGAGGGGCCGCCGCGCCTGGGAGCAGGGTCCCCGCGGGGCTGCAAGGCCTCCGCGAGGGGGTGGATGCTGGGATTGCACCTCCTGCGCGCTTTCCAGCTTTCAGAAATACTGCAAGATCTTTGTAGATCCGCCAGGAAAACCCATTCACGTGCAGAAAACTTGGGGGATCTGGGGCTGAGAGTGAGAGGAAGAGTGAAAGGCGAGAGAGCGCAAAAGGGACCCTTCTCCAACGCACAGCTGCAGCTTGGTGTTCTGGGAGTGGACCAATAGTGGCAACAAAAAGCGCTTTCACGGGAAGGCAGGCCGATCCGAATCCCCATGATCGCTGCCTGCCTGACTGAAGTTAGATCACTGTGGGAGATTCCTCAAACTCCAGTTGAGCCCGTGAAACTTCTTTTTCTTCTTTAAATTGGAGTCACAGCCCCTTGCTGTTCACTAGCACCGAAATTTTTCCCTTTGACCCTCATAACGGCCCTGTCCAAGAGGCCTGAGAAATAGAATCACCCTCATTTTCTGAAGGAGGAACCTGAGGTTAACGTGATTTCTCCGAGGTCGGTGGCAAGTGGTCAGGTGGCCTGTGACTTCCCCACCGCAAGGCCTGAGGATGTAGTCTTGACACGGCCTGGCCCGGAAAATGCCCTTACCATCAAAACTAAACACTGAGCACAATGACATGAACAACCAAAACACCGTCTCTAAGTCCCATCAGTTGGAAGTTAATTGAACCTCTAGACCTTGTAGCTTAGTCCCCGTATGTCTGTAATGCACTAGAGTCCTACTTCACAGGCTCGTGCCACGGAGGTGCTTGCAAAGCATCAGGGAAGTTCCCCAAGTCGATCGTAAATAATTTCCGAATCTTCCCTCCGTTGTTTGCTTCCCCAGTCCTGCTTTCAACATAAATCCCTACAACTGGCATTCTGAATGAGGGCGCCACAGAGAGCTCAGGGACAGATGGCTCTTGCCAGCCTCCTGATGTTCCTTTCTCCCAGTGATACCCTAGCAGCTCCTGCCTGTTAGCAGGCACCAGCGGGGAGTCTGCACCTCTCTAACCTCCAGCTTGGATACTGGAACCCTGGAGAGTGGAATTTACCGATTCAACCTCCAGCACTCAAAAAGAACTAGCCTTTCCACAACTCACGCTTTGAACTCCGAATATTCGTGCGTTGTAGAAACATAGATAACAGGAGTAACATTAGATTTGGTCCTTCCTGTGTTCTTGGAGTGCTATATAGGCAGCGGGATGTAACAAGCCAAAGAAAAGGTGCTGGATCTCGCCTCCCAGTGTGCCTGCTGGACTCACGGGGTGGGGTGGGGTGATTGGGGAAAAGAGGAACCCCCCCAAACGGTGCAGAGACGGATATGAAAGGGTGAGGAGAGAAATCAGTAAAGGAATTTATTTAAAGCGATCAAGCCCCCATCTTCCCATTTAACCCCACTCCAGCAAAAATTGGAATTCTTTAATTTGGTAAGTCATGTGTACCTGGCATAAAGCTCCAGTGGGTATTAATTGTATTAAAAGCCTCACTCGCGCCTTCTTAGTTATTAACACAGTTATTCCCACTATACTAGGAAACCTACTTCTTAATTGTTCTTTCTCCAGAAACCAGGCCTATTCAGAGATAAAATATTTTCAAAACCAATCTAATTTGGAATTTCATTTGAGACTTTAACTGGTGCTCAGAATTCACAGTGCCATACAACACATGGCTTAACCAACACTTTAGGGAGTCTCATTTCTTATAAGTCAGTATTTCATCTAGGCTTAGTTCATCTAGTCATCTCTTAGGGTGCATGCACATTTGAACCTGAGTGACTTGTTGTTGTTGTGTACTGTAGAGTCGGAACCAACCCATAGCTGACCCTATAGTGGGTTTGAAGAGGCCGTTAATCACACAAGAGGAGATTGCCTATCCTTCTCCTGCAGAGCAACTGGTGGCCTCGAACCACTTGTCTTCAGGATTGCAGCACAGCTCATTGCTACTAGATCACCAGGGCTCCCTCCTGAGCACCTTGTTTGTGTGTAAATTTAGAGTCAATACTCCTGCCATCTGTTTCTTCATCTAGAATATAAGGCTACTAATTCATAATCTATGGAGTTTTTGTAAGGGTTAAGTGAAATAAGTGATGCCTTTTTCAGAACAGCTGACATTAAGCCAGGCAGTGTTTATGTGTGCATATACACACATCTGCACATACTCACACATACAGGTATATTATTGTTATGTACCACTAAGTCTGAAGCCACTCACAGCTGACCTTCAACTGGTTTTCAGAGACAGTATATTGTACAGGAGGAGATTGCCCATCTTTCCCCTGAGGAGCAGCTGCTGAGTTTGAACTGTCTGCCTGTGCGAGTGTGTGTGTGTGTGTTGTGTGTAGATCCCGAAGTTTGTGGTCATCAGCTGCTCTGTGGCAGAAGGATGGGCAGTCTCTTCCTGTGCAATTAATTGCCTCTGAAAACCTGCCAGACTGTCAGCTATGGATTGGTTCAGACTCTATAGGCAACAACAACAACAACATATAGCTAACTTTCCAGCAGGTTTTCAGAAATAGTTGTTAATACATTTGTGTGTGTGTGTGTGTGTGTGTGTGTGTGTGTGTATCTCAACTGCTCTGAATCCTGCTCTATCCTAAGCCAACAGTATTGTCTCTGACACACCAACGACCATTACTCCAGTCACTGAGTCAATCCATTTTATCCAGGGTCTTCCTCTCTTGTGCTATCCCTCCACACTCCCAAGCATTATATCGTTCTCTAAGGACTGATTCCCTCCTTGCAGCATGCCAGAAGCACATCAGACGAAGCTTGAGAATCCTTGTCTCCAAGGAGCAGTCTGGTTTCACCCTCTCAAGGATGAACCTATTTGTTCTCTTAGCAGTCCATGGTATATTCAGCACTCTTCTCCAGCGCCACAGCTTAAGGCATCAATTCTTCTTCTAGGGTTCCTAGTCATCGTCCAGCTTTCTGATACATAGCAAGTAATTATGGAGGTCATGCCTGGATCAGACACACCCTAGTCTCCACACTGACATTGTTGTTCTTCAGTACTTTGGAGAAGTCTCTGACAGCAGACTTTCCCAGTGCAATTTGGTTTTTAATTTTCTTGCTTCTGGTACTAAGAGTGTTGATTGTGGAGCCAAGCAAACTGAAGCTGTTAACAATCTCAGTCTCTTCACTGTCTATCATGATGTTGCCCATCAGCCCAGTGGTGAGAATCTTTGTTTTCTTGATGTGGAGCTTTAATCCATACTGAAGTTGCAGTCCCTTACCTACTGCAGCAAGTGCTTCAGGTCCTTCTCAGTTTCGGCAAGCAAGGTTGTCTACATAATGTGGGTGGTTGATGAGTTCTTCTTCCAATCCTGATACCACATTCTATGCTTGCTATGGTGGCCTTCTGGCAAGAAGCTGCTCTGCAATCCTGAAAGCACATGGTTTGAGGCCACCAGATGCTTCAAGAGGATAGGCAATCTCTTCCTGTGCCATTAACTGTCTGGAGGGTCAGATATGGGTCAGTTCCAACTCTACAGTACACAATAACAGCAATTATATTCTATAAAATATAAAATAAAATTTTATTTTTATTTTATTTTTAAGGGAGCTATGCCAGGGATGTGTCCTATCTCCATACCTTTTCAATCTGTATGCAGAACAGATTATCCAAGAGGCTGGGCTCTATGAGGAGAGGTGTGGCATCCGGATTGGTGGAAGATCTATTAACAATCTGCATTATGCAGCTGACACAACCCTGCTTGCTGAAACTGAGGAGGACCTGAAACACTTGCTGCAGAGGGTCAAGGACTGCAGCCTTCTATATGGATTGAGGCTCAATGTCAAGAATACAAAGATTCTCACCACTAGGCCAATTGTCAGCATCAGGATGGATGGTGAAGAGATTGAGATTGTTAACAACTTTAGTCTGTTTGGTTCCACAGTCAACACTCTTGGCACCAGCAGCCAGGAAATTAAAAGACATATTGCAATGGCAATGTCTGCCCTTAGGGACCTCTCCAAAATACTGAAGAGAAATAGTGTCACTCTGGAGACTAAGGTGCACCTGATACAGGCCATGGTCTTTACAATCACTTGTTATGCATCAGAGTATTGGACAATGACTAGGGAGGATAGAAGGAGAATCAATGCCTTTGAGCTGTGGTGCTGGAGAAGAGTATTGAATGG